GGTGGTGCGGCGTCTGCCGGTCTGCCTGCGAATGCTCTGGAGCATAGAATGCCAGCTGCAACCCGCGCGACTTTGGCCTTTGTTTGCGCGTGGGGCGCGATGCTAACGCTACAGTCGAGTATCGGCTCGTGGAGCTCGAGCGGAGGGAGGCTGGAGGACGTTGGGCGTCGTGAGAACTGAACGGGGAGGGGGGGTCTGGCGTGGATGGAGGAGTTCACTTTTATATATCACCTGGTTATAGCACCATGCTTGGACAAACTGAGAATAGGCTCAGTCTGTTCACGCTTGGACAGAAAGAGAAAATGAAAAATAGGCATGGCCTCTTCGCCCAGGGGCGGGCCGCCTTCAGATTCACGCATAGCGTTGAGGAGCTTGCCACAGTTGAGGAAGATTGTTGGCCACGTGAGCGCCCTGGAGCTGCGCCGCTTCCAGCGGTTTCGCTCATTTGGGCCGTGGCCGCACTAGGCATTCGAGGTTATTTTTTTATGCCCCCGAGCGTACCGTGGTCGCAAGTTGGCGACCACGCGACCAGCTGGCCGTATGTTGGCGACCATATAGGGTTTTTGGTCGCGTGGTCGCTGGTCGTACTTTGGCGACCACTCTGCCAGAGTGGTCGTGACCGTGGTCGCAAGTTGGCGACCACGCGACCAGCTGGCCGTATGTTGGCGACCATATAGGGTTTCTGGTCGCGTGGTCGCTGGTCGTATGATGGCGACCACCCACGCGACCACGTGGTCGTGACCGTGGTTCTAATTCTGTTTCTTCTTTCTCAAAACAGGCACCGAGGACTCAGACCATTTCGTCCGTCGAGGCACTTCTCCGAACAACGCTTTGTCGAGATCCGGAGATCTACCTCTGAAAAACCTCTCGACTCGTGCCCCCCAAAAGCGTAAAAAAGGGCAGCGGCCTCGCTGGGCCAGAACATCGGCCCCGAGTGCTCCGCAGCAGCCTTGCTGGGCCAGAACGTCGGCCCGCGAGGTGGGGTGCTAGTCTGGGACCCATACGTGGCAGTTCCCTTGCTCCAAGCGCTTGCGCTTCGGCGGTAGTGATCTAATCACCCGAATACCACGTTCGGATCGCTCCTCATCGCAAACCCTGTCAGCAGTTCGCCTACGGGTATGTTCGTAAGAGCTACATACACTGAAAAAGGTGCACTAACCTCCGAGAAACCCTTCGGGCCGCTCCTCATCGCAAACCCTGTCAGCAGAGTCTCCTACGGGAATGTACGTAAGAACTACATACACTGAAAAAAAAACATCTTGGAGAAGCGAATTGCGACCGTGCCTCCTCGCGCCGTGAGAGCACCAGCTTCGTCGGGCTTTTAGCCAGCGCTGGCGCTCCCCGACGATCTTTCTACCACTTCGCCCGCGCGAGCTTCTGGCAGCGCCTCTCTCTTCCTGCGCACGGCACGAGAGGCCGACGTGCACCTAAACACCTTCACGGATGCGTGGCGTCGCCGTCGGTGCTCTTTTGTCTCGCCGGATAGGCGTCGGTCTTTGGTCGTGCCGCACGGCGCGTACGTTGGAGAGCTCACATGCATGGCCTGTGTGTAGGCAGTCTACGCTCGGCGGGTGCGCGCTGCCTCGGCCGCTGCGATGTGCGTCTCGCCGCTGCCGCGCAGCCTTTGGCCAGCTCTTGTATTGTCGCGGCTTTGGCGAGGGCCGCGCTCGCGTGCCGCTGTCGTCGCGTGACCGAGTAGGACAGGCTGCTCTGACTGGTCGCGGAGAGCGGCCCGGCGCGAGCCGGGGGCTGTGCATTCGGGAAGGAGGCGGCAGGCGCGGCGGCCGCCGGGCCGCCGGCACGGTGGGTGCGAGACTCGAACAAGAGGGCTGGCGGGGAGACGCGGCCCGCGCCTCCGTGCGGTGGCTCAGTGCTTCCGTGCCGGTGGATTGTGTGTGCTGCCACGCCACTGACTGGCCGAGTGCAGCAGATTGTAGCAGAGCGCAGCAGAGTGCAGCAGAGTGCGAGTGCGGCTGAGGGCGGCAGAGTTTGCTTGCCTGTGGGAGAGCGCTGCAGCACTCTGGCTTCCGTCCCAACGAATTCTCTGGGTGTGACCGAGTGTGGCCGAGTTCGTGTGCTGACTGTGTGCGCAACCGGACGACCATTTGATTCCCACCTGCACTCAACCACACTCTGCTGCACTCCTTCACTGTAACAGAGTTTGACCGATTGAGGCTGAGTGTGCTGGAGGGTGCCATCGCGTGGCAGAGCCCGCCAGAGGGCGACCGCGTCGTAAAAATGTTGCAGAGTTCAACTCTCGTGAACCTCTAATGGCCGTCGGGTCAGCAAAGCCCACCATCGACCCCAAAACGGGCAGGGCAGTCGACTCGAAAGCACACCATCCTCCCCCTCCTGCTCCGGCGCTGCCATCGTCGGCGCTGCCACCGGCAGCACCAGACCAGGGTTCGGCACCAGACCAGGAATCGGCACTGCCGGCCGCGGCGAGCACTCTGCCGCCACCAGTCTCTCTGGTGCCTGCCACGCCGCAGTCGCCGCCGCAGCTTTCCCCGCCCGCCGCGCCGAGCCTCCCCACCTCGCCGCCGCCGCCGCTGGTGCCGCCGCAGCCTCCCGGGCAAGACACGCCACCCACCCTCCCGGCACCTCCAGCAGCACCAACGTCCCGGGAGGCTGCGGCGCCCGTGCCTTTGCAGCCTCCCTCTTCTGCGCCTCGCTCGCCGCCGGACCCGCCGGCGACGCCTCTAGCCGGCGCTCCCTCGGCGCCCACCTCGTCCCCTCCGCCTGGCGCGCCGGACCCTACCCCCGGCGAGACTGGCTCTGGCGAGGCTGGCTCTGGCGAGGCTGGCTCTGGCGAGGCTGGCTCCGGTGAGCAGCCACGGGCGCCGCCGCCGCTGCCGCCGTGGCTGCCGCCGCCGCTGCCGCCGCTGCTACCGCCGCCGGCTGCGCCGACACCGGCTGCGCCGCCGCCGCTGCCGCCGCCGCCTATCACCCCAGGGTCGGGCGAAGAGCCGGGATCGGGCGAGCCGGGATCGGGCGAGGCGCCGTCCCTTCCTCCGCCTCCGCTCCAGCCGCCAAAGCCGCCTCCGCTGCTGCCTCCATCGCCAGCTCCGCCCCGCATCCCTCTCGGCGACCCGCAGGCGCCCCCGCCACCTCCATCCACACCGCCGCCGCCGCCGCTACCGCCGCCCTCGCCGCCGCCGCCCTCGCCGCCGCCGCCGCCGCCGCCGCCGCCGCCGCCGCCGCCGCCGCCGAGCCCGCCCTCGCCGCCGCCGCCCTCGCCGCTCCCTCC